TTTGATTTATTTTAAGATTAACAAAAAATAATACGATACGTGATATATAATAAACTTGATGAGCTTGTAAAGCGACGCGTTTCTAATTTTCTTCAGGCTATGAATGTCTATCTACCGCTCTTCCCTTTCCTTTTATCCTACTCTCGTTCCTTTCTTCTACTCTCGTCTAATGGGAATTTTTCCTTTCTTCTACTCTCGTCCAATAGGAATTTTTTCTTTCTTAATGGGGGCCACTATTCTCATTGGAGGGGGATAGGTGTCGTTCTCTTTCTTTTATTTCTTTCTATTCTTAGTCCATTCTTAGTCTCTTCTATCTCTCAAGGCAATCTCGATAGTGTGGGTGCCAAGAAGGGAGTAACTCAATGGGAACTAACTCTTAATCCCTATCACAATAAAATTATACACTTTTATAAAAAATTAATTAAATACAAAACGAAAAACAACAAAACGAAACAAAAAACAAAAGAACAAAAGCGAAGGACTAAAAAAACAATATTGACCAGGTCCTTCGTTCTTGTCACTGTTCGTATCAATCGAACTATAATGTAAAAGCAAAAAAAGAGGGGGAGGGGGCCTATCTCTCACTTATTCTATTCCTTTTCTAACTCCTCTACTAATGCTCTTATTGCTGACTTAGGGGGTTTCTTATGGACTAATACCTTCTTGAGGTTATCCGCTAATCTATGGGCAAAGATAACTGGGATATCGCTAAGCGGGGTTCCCTCAAAAATCTCATTCCAAATTTGGTGAAACTTTGACCCGAAATTAGCTAAATTTTGTGTATAGGTAAAATGGACCATAATATCTCTGCTCAAGTCAATCCCGGGTTTATCTTTTTTATTCCATCCTTCGTCTAAGACCTGTTCCCTAAACTCGTTGTGCCTGTCGCTAAGAAGTAATTTTGTATTTTTCTGCCCTGTTAAAGTCTCATAAAATCTCTGAAAATGTCTCTCTATAAATTTTGGAGGGTATCTATTCAAAAGTAGGGTTATTCTCACTTTCTCAATTTCTTCTTCTAAATTATCTCGATGGGAACATATTCTTACTGCTCGTAAAAGTGCTGAGAAGGGAATATTCTTCATAACATGGGGAGGGTGTGCTGAGTTAAAGGGTAAGATGTAAGGCTGAGCCGCTAATTTTCTATATACCCTTGTCCGAAAATTGGGAGTCTCAACTTCTACTCTTACATCTAAGTAATCTACATGGGATCCTGTCTCAAAAGTTAACCCTATATTTTTATCCTTCTTTCCTAGCTCTAATAAAATTTTATCCATTTCTTCCCTGGGTCTCTTAGTGGTTATGCAAATATCATCTCGGAATCTAAGGTAGATCTCTCCCTCTCTCTCCTGCTGTTCCTTAAAGTCCTTCTCCCACTTTCTCATGTATACATCTGCTAAGACTTGGGTGCACTCTGATCCCATGGGTCCTCCTCTAATCTGTTTGTAATACTTAACCCCTTGCCCTGGTAACTGTAAAGCGAAATACGCGTTCTCTAGTACGTGTCTAAATAGGGTTCTAACTGTATTGATGGGTATCTCTCCGTTAACCTTATTAATTCTATTCTCCCCTAACATCTCACAGACTGCTAAGATCGACTCCTGCTGAGGTATCATTGTGTATAAATCTGTTATGTCGAAAGTATACACAAGGGTCTGGTCTGTTGTTCCGTACTTTTTTAAATGTTTTAAAAATCCTATACTATTCGTCAAACTATAAGGGGTTAATTTATCAAAAATGGGTCGGATAATTTTATCGAGAAAAGCCGAGATTTTTTGTGTAGGTGATTTCATCCCTGAAACGATTGGTCTTAGTGGTTCTCCTACCTTATGATCTTTTGGGTTATAGTAAAGATGGGGTAACTCGGCTTCTAGTGGATTTGGTTTCAATTTCTCAAAATACTTTCCGGGTAATAGTTTTCTATTGACTAAATTTCTAAGTAACTCCTCTGTCTTTTCTATCATACTCTCTAGGGGTGATTGTTCTATTTCCTCGTAGGCATCCGTCTTTCTCATATAAGCTATCGACTTCTCAATATATGTCTCAGGCCTGTCTACGTGGAATACCTTTGATTTGTCCGTCTGTCTAAAAATAACCTTTCCCTTTTTTTGTTCCTGTTGAAAGCGTTCTAAGGTCTTCTCAACTAGTGGGTCTCTTACTATCCTCTCATTTATCTTATTTCTCATCTCATTTTCTAATCTTAAGGCGAATTCTTCTACAAGACTTGGGTTTCTACCGACTGTTCTAGTTTCTCTTCTCCAGGCTTCGGCTAGTTTCTCTTTCATTACTCTAATCTCATCTTCTAATCTATCTAATGCTTGTTGGGGGTTCTCAGGTACAAATTTTGGTCCATAATTTAGGATCCTTCTCTCTTCTTCAGTTAGCCCTAAAACCTTATTGTTTACTTGGGGTGGAAATCCTAGAGGTGTAAAATGGGGGTGTAGATTCTTAGCCCTACTATTCCTTTCCTTAGCTCTAACTATTTTTCTACTGTTCTTTTCGCCTTTTTCTCTAAAAAATTCAATTTCTTGTGGACTTTTCTATTGTTTCTAATCTCTAATGTGTGTATCAGGTCTTTATATGCTATTCTTATTTCTACTGGTATTTTTTCTATTATATCTAGATGTTCTTTCTCACTCTTATTTATTTCTGCTACCTTAGCTATTCTCATAATTGATGTTAAATCTAATTTACTCTTCCTTATGATGTTATTCCATTGCTCACTGTACTGGTCTATTACTTCCTTATCTAATTCTTTACTACGGAACTGCAACTTATCCATGACATTCAGTGCTGGTGGTGGCATGTTCTCATTTAATCTACGATCTAACTTATCTAGTTGGAATCTTAACTGTAATGTTCTATCGAATCTTAGTTGCGCTTTCTCGACTAATTCTAGATTCTCTTTATTGCCCTTATTTCTAATCGTTCTTAATGCCTTTTCTTTCATTTGGTCTAATATAAGATTATCTAATCGTTTTTTATTAGATTCTTTTAAGATATCTATCAATGGCTCTACACTATTCTTAACGTACTGTACTATATCTCGATGTTTCTCTTCCTTAAACTGTTTCATAAGTTCCTCTAACTCCTTTTCTTGTTGTTTCATTTTCTTTTCTAAAAATTCTCTATGTGCTATAATATTTTCTATACTTGCATTCAAATGAAAAATCTTAAAATGATATTTACACTCTATCGGTATAATCGGAAAATTAAATAAATTGAAATGACTAAAATCTATATCTTTCGATACAACTGATGGTACGTATGTATCTTTATTTATTTCCATATGTTGATCTTGTTCCATATGGTGATCCTCTTTACTTTCTATTCTTATACTAGTATTTGATGTTTCAACTTGCGCATCCTGTATCTCATAATCATCACTTGTTGTTACAATCTTTGGACTGTGAACAAATCGTTGTGGTAGTGGAATAGGTGTTTTTGGTGTACTCTGTCTTGGACTGAGTACAGGTGGTTCCACTAGGCCTGGTGGTGTTTTCGGCAATTCATTTATATTAGATTCAATAACAATATCCTGTTGTTGTTGATATCTCTGTGAGGGTACAGGTGGTTTAAATACCCGTGCGAATGGTCTCGGTCCTTTGAGACTTGTATCTATCGGAGTATCTTGTCTTATTGTTTTATTTTCTTTATCTTTATCTTTATTCTTCTGTTCTTTATTACTATTCTCTGTGACTAATAATATTGGACTACCTGCCGGTGCTCGTGGATCATTTTCTATTGTTGTTTTCTTTTTCTTTTTTGATGTTATTTTCTTCTTTCTTATGCTATTCTCTTTAGTTGCTGTTGTTGTTTTGTCTTTCGATGTTGGTGAAAGACTTGTATCCCTTAATTTTCTTTTCTTTTTTTCATCTTCATTATCGGATTCATTATTACTACTATTACTAGCTTCTTCTCTATACTCGATGTTACTATTTTCATTACTTTGACTGTCTGTGTCGGTGACAGTCATATTCAATATCGCCGAATATCTTTCTCTAAATGGTCTTGCCTGTGGTATATCTTCTGTGTCGACCATTATAATATCATCTCCATCTTTTTCTATTTCTATTTCTTTTTTACTAGCTACTTTTTCGTAAATTTTCCATTTCTTATTCTCTTCTTCATAATGCCTTTGCTGATAATATAAATTAGCTGCTAAAAATAGTTTTTCTTTTTCTTCTTCTATCTCTTTGGGTGGGGGATTATCTCGGAAAAATTGTTCTTTAGTTCTTAATTTATGTGGATAAAATTTTATTAGAGATCTCGA